AGTTATGCACGCAGAAGTCCGGTGCTAGTTACAAAAATTGTCCTTGACATTTAGAGTGTACGCTGACTTCGACCGTCGCGTAATCGCCGCATCGGTTGATCACGCTACCCGTTGGACTCGGTGTCCGTTGGTATCTTACCAAACGCACTATGGTGTTTTGTCATCTTCTCAACTTCACTTCTTCAACTTAAAGGTTGGGATCAATGAAAGAGTACAACAGTAGTAATCAACTGAGAGAGGAGGCGAAGCGAAGCGGGCTATTGGTCTGTGCGCGGGGGCCCGTGTAAGGGCGGGCGCAGCCGGCGGCGCGGCGTGTGATGGACAGGGGGTGAGAGAGAGAGAAAAAGAGAGAGAGAGAGAGAGAGAGAGAGAGAGAGAGAGAGAGAGAGAGAGAGAAGATGGAGGGCGTTCGATGGGGCGCTTTACCACTATTTTCGATTGTACACTTATTTCGCAGCTGATCCCCCCACCCTTCCCGGTGCGGGGGCGTGGGGCGGGGTGGGCCACACACAATTAAAACACCGCGACCCACCCGTGGCGGCGGTCGCTGCTGCTGACCACGGCGGCGTTCAGCACCGGTCGATGATCCTGGCGATACACCCGTGTCCACCAGCTCCGCAAGCTCGGACTCCAGCCCTCCTCCAGGAGTCTCCAGCTCTACTCGACTCCTCGACTGCACCCGTCCCCCCGAGTGCCGCAGCGCGTCTCGGCTCTCCTTTCAGTCTGCACACGGCGGTTGGTCATCCCAAGGCCGGCCCGCGCTGCCCCAGCTGCACCCCGCCCCCTCCTCACCCCCCTCCTCTTGCCGCCCCGCACTACGATGTTATGAGACGGTCGTAAAAAAGGTTGCGAAAGTTTTTCCGTCCCTGTCCTCCTATAGCGCGCGCGCGGGCCAAGCCGCGGGAGGGAGCTCTCTCGTGCAGCCAACAGATGAATTAACACAGATAGTTTCGGGGGGGTGGGGGGGCACGACGCGTGGGCGGAACCGACAGCGCGGAGACAGGACTCGGGCATTTCGTGGAGAAGGGGCAGCCAGGGCAGCCAGTCCCTCAGTGAACGGGGGCGGGGGCAGGCAAAGGCAGCCTCGGGGGCGGGTCTAGGGCTTCCCCGCGTGGGCGGACGGCGTGGACACAGACGGGGTCTAGTCGGTGGTTGGTAAAGCCGGGCGGGGGGATTCTATTCGGGCGGATAGTCTTTGACCAGGGATGATGATGCGTCCTTCTTGCTTGACTTCGCGGTTTCTGACTTCCGCACTTCTGTTGCAGGACCGACACGCTATGCGGTGGCTGGCACTCTGGGCGGTCGCTTCCTTCACGCTCCAGGGCTTCTGCCTCGCCACAGATGACACGTCCTCGTCGGCGCACGACGTCGTCGCGCCGGAGGACGCCAACCACCAGCTCGTGAGTAGAGGAGCGAGCAGAGGGGACGGGGAGCTTCGTCACCCGAGGCACATTGATGCACAGAGATAAGTGCACAATGCTGCGTTATTAATGACATGTACCGCTACATCGACATCAGTCCCATCGTAAAGCAAATGTCTGTAGTTTGATGTGTTTTTCTTCCCCCCGTTTGGTTTGGCGCCTGTGACTTTCAGGGTAGGCCAGCCCGCAATACATGCATACACTGCAGGCGAGATATTGCCTACCTATCAGGCGCTACGAGAGCTAAAGAAGCCCGAAAAACCTGTTGTCCCAGCTAGGAGACCCGCGGGCCACTTTTGTTAATAATTGTCATTCGCGCTCTCTCAGCCGTGTGGGTCACCCATAAACGCCTGCCTCTCTCGCCTCGCAATGACTGATCCTATCGTTATGACCCCTGGCATAAGCCCAATTCGGCAAATTCGTTACGGTGAATGACGGACGTAACTTCAGGTCGATCGCAAAGTTGGCTTATTTCAACTTTTTTCGAGGCTTCCCCGCCGCACTGTAGCGACCGACGCGACCGCCTAGCAGACTGCCTTCCACCCCGCCCCGCCACCACCCCTCGGGACCCGGGGGCTGATACGGCAGAGGACGGGCCTTAGACGGGGCGATCATTTTATACGGGGATGTTGCGCGATAAGGCATAACCCCCCTCCTCCCCCCCACTTGGTCCATACCCCGTCCCCACAACCACCCCTCATACACTCCGTGGCCTACCCTACACCATGACATCGTGCCTCACGTCGAGCACGCCGGCACAGCCTCCCACCCCCTCACCCC